ATGTTCGATTGATTTTCTGAATGTCTGCAAAATTTTTATTTGCAATGTGTCGATGTTGTTGTCGGTAAAATTCACATTGGTTCCTTATCGCTGACATGGACTAAAAGCACATGTCATTTAGCTGTCAACTTGTTTTTTGTTGTTGTTGCCGAAATAAATGTGTATATTTTATAAGAAATAAAATGGCAGTGAACACCACATTTTTAGCTGAGTTTAATCGAAAATCATGTTTTAGCTTGTTGGCTGGGTGCTGAAATGTGAATAGTTAAGATGTTTGTGGTTATGCCTTGTGGCAGTAACTAACAAAACTTTGCATTCAAATTATGTGGATGTGGTGTGACGCACACCACTATATATAATAGACAAGCGATTGTAACATCAGCTAATTAAACATTTTAAGGCATTTCAGACGTATCATAACCCATGCTAATTACCCAGTAAAATCTAACAATATTACTCACTTTAATTTGGTAGTCATGACTACTATACTTGATTTCATAATCATACCTCACGTTGCAAACCTTATCAATATCGATTCAATATACAATATGAATTTGTATTATAAATATTCCAACACACGTTCCATGTTCGATCATTGTCAAATTGAAAATAATTCTGTCAAAAATATGGCATGTTACATAATGTATATATGACAAAAAAAGGGCCAACAAAACGAGTTGATATTCAATGATTTTTTTTATCATGAAATAATTCCAAAAAAATTTACACAGATTTTAAGCGAACAGAAAAATAGTATCTTATTATGACGGTATCAGGGAAATCGACAAAAAAGGTAAATACGACTGTAGAAAAAAGCATCAAACCAAAACATATGCACATGTGAATGCCGTTCAATTGATTTTTAACTTCCATCCCATCCAAAATTCATTCCATTCTAAAATTCTCTGCTCTATTTTTCACTGTATTATTTCACAAAGACACCGTTTCATTTAGTACCGATGAGTTCGTCGATTGTATCTTGGTTGTGTGCTGTTGTTGTCATCATTTTTTCATTTGCTTCTTGATTTGAAGTGTACATAAATGCAAAACGAATACTCTCATTCAAACCATATATATTCATTCGGTGCAGTGAAATGTGATTTTAGCATGAAAACGAAATGCGACACAACAAAGCAAAAATAAAAGAAGAAAAAGAAGACGGAGAGAAAGAGAATGAGAGGCGAGAAAAAAAAACGAACTCAAAATATCATGTGTTATATCCACTAACAGCGGCAACAACAGCACTTCACATTGCAACGATATGGCAGCAACGCAAAATGTGGCAACAGCGCCAAACCAAGAACAATTAATGTATATTTATAGTCACGTAGCACTGAAAGAGTGAACGAGACGGAAATGTATAGCATTTGGTATATTATGACTGTGTGAGCTGTCTGTACGTGTGTTTGCATGTTATTGCAAAAATAGCGCACACTTTCCGCACATACAATTATACATACACACACACACACACACAAACATATACGAACATCAAATACATGCGGCATCAATTAAATTGTTTCTCAAAGAGCATTTATAAAAGCAATCGAAAAAAGTGTTATAAGCCGTTTCCATGTACTTCCATTCGTATATTTTCCATTACATTATCGCTCGTTGAGTGGAACAAAGACGACAATTTCTCATATGGAAAGACGACAACGACAAAAGGACCGACTCGATTTATGTGTGTATGTGCGCGCGGATGATTTGAAGTACACAAATTGAAAAAGAAGAAGCAGCAACCAAAAAAAAAACATTAAAAAAATTCCAAGCACATAAGCTCTTCAGAAGAGCGCTGCAATGCATGAAAAAAAGCCATATAAATGTTTGCGTATGTACTGGCAGCATTAATGAATCGAGAAGAGAATGTTCGAAACGTTTGCCGTAGAATATCAAATGTAAAGAAGAAGAAGAAGCAGACTGGAATATGAAACGTTTTACGACGCATGGCTGCTAAACCACGCCTCATGGCAGCCGAAATCACAAATACACAAACACTTTGTTCTCGATGGCTTTCTGTGTATCAGACACAAGCTGAGTTCTCTGTATTGAATGAATGAAGTGGCGAAAACGAGATGAATATATGTGCCAGAATACGCGCACGACACTCATACTCAATTATAGTACATTAAATGGCATTCGGTTCGGTGAGAGAGATCCCAAAGGAAATTACATTCCATACACATTTTCGCTGAATGCATTTATAATTTTTAATGTATACCAAAAGTAGCATTGAGCTCAGAGTTCACATGTATATATTGAACTGTTTTAAATTCTAGCAAATGGAAAATACCATATCATCATCATCATCGTCGTCGTCGTCGTCGTCGTGTATACTACGTCAACAATGCATACGGCCGAGACTCTTTTTCGTTTCGAATAATAATCGTCGTCTATTGTTTTGTATGTATCATGAGACGTTGCCGAATCTCTTTCTCAATCGCATCATAGGCATCATTATGACTACATAGTTTCACATTGTTTGCACCGAAGCGTCTGAATTAAATGATACTTGCTGAATATTTAAATTATTCGTCTGCACTTAAAGCGGGCATGTGTTGGACGGGAAATATTTTCGCTATTTTCAAATTGGACCAAATCGGTGTCCTGGCACATCAAGAAAACAAATAAAATTCTTACAATACGGCGAGAAAACAAAATGTTCATCTAAGTTCAACTGATTTGCTTTGGTTCAGTTTTTTTTCAGTCGGTCGATGGTCGTATGTGAATCTCTTTCACTATGTGTCTTGATTTAACTTATACACATTTTGTCGTTATCTTCTTCCTTGTTTTTGTTCATATCGCTCGCAACAAAGAATGAAAATAAAACTTATATATGCATATAACGTCTTTATGTATATATAAACTTATTTCATGTCGTCTATTTATCTTAGAGAATTGAGATCGAATGAAAAATGATAAAATCAATTCGAAAAAGGCAATTGCATTTTAGTCTTGTACATATAACGTGATTTTTCTTATTTGGCGTCATGAAATTGCCATTTTTAGAGGACATTTTCATCTCTATTTCAAACTTTACCAAAAACTACTATCGTCTAGTTTGAGTGTGTGTGTTTGTGTGTATGTCTGTGCGTATGTGTTGTCTACAAACGGAATGACGAATTAGATAAAAGTCCATAGACGACAACAGCAACAACAACAAAAGTCAAATATTAACGAACTTATATTACTTTTCCAGCATGTAGAAACTGGCTTTGATTAAATACATTTCAACAATATTTGCACACAGAAAGTTTATCAGCGATCCCTTTCAAAACATCCGTGTAGATAATTACATACATATTTGGGTTGAATTTTTTTGTATCATACTTATGCCCGTTACTGTTATTGCACCGTGTCTGATAACGTTCATTTCATTCTGTCGCTACTCATAATATTATTGGAAAATCAATATTAAATGGTTAGAAAGTTGAGGAAAAATTGTGCCGCAAGAACCATAAATAACCTAGTCACTTTTCCGACATATACACTCAGCTCTTCTAAAGTTTTAAATTTAATTCAGTGAAAAACTTTCGTACATTAATTACTGTTCAGAAAATTCAACATTTAAAACTTCATTTAAAGCATTTTGCTCATAGCTCGATGGAATATTTCTTTGTGTGTGTGTGTGTGTGTGAAAAAGTTCCATTTTCACTGTTAGAAATAGAAGTTAGTTTGAAGCGACTCTCTTTGTGAAATGTATTTACTTTCAATGATGGATTTTTTTTGTACGATTTGTGCATCGATGATGTATAATTACGAAGTTAATGGAATTTATGTGTGCGCCCAACACGAACTGCACACCCCATAAAGCTTAAAAGGAATTTCCAATTATCCAAAAAGAAATTTCATCAAGACAAAATTCTTGGATTTAATGCAAAGTTTCAAACGGAAGAAGGATAAATTGCAGAGAAGTTAATAGAAGATCGAGCCCACGCCCAGATGTTCTGGGTCAAAAATATGATTTCGTACACATTCCATTTATATATTCTCATTGAATGGAGAAATGGCAAACATTTCAATCATATAATTTTTTTGTCGACTAGATTTTCGCAATTCCATTTTCTTTTTTTCCTTTCTTAGGATCAAATTGTTGATAGGTTGTCACTAGACTAATATCATTTAGTCAAATACAATGGCAAGCATATTGAATGTATAAAATATAATTGAAATTCTCCGAGAAAATCTTTTTGTACCAAAAAAAAAAATGAATGTCGGTAAGGGCATACCAAAATTGAAACGGAAAGAGACAGACGAAAATAATATAACGCCCGACAATATCAAATGAAGAGAGAGAAAAAATGTGATGGCGTTCGATTTGGAGTCTCTGAAATTTGGCAGGCGAAATTCACATGCAATGTATAAAAGTAAATAGAACAAATTCTCGTTTCGGTCTCATAGAAACCGTGTGCACAATTGAAACGACCCAATATCTCGGCTTCGTCCGTTCTTTGTACATAAATATACAGTAGATTGTTTTATCGATTTTCATGATAACAACATTGTCGAAAATGTGAATAACAAGCGCATTTAATAAATAAAATGAAATACAATCCCCTTTACCATCGAATATTAGGTTGATTTCAATTGAACTGATTGACACAGATACATGTACGGCATTATTACAGTATCATTATTGTGATTATAGGTTTTTATATTCACTAATAATGTTATACAAGCAGAAAAAAATATTGCGGCCATATTTTTGCCCAATGAATGGCTGCAGTAACCGCGACGGTAAGATATAAAAGCGCCACATTTGTTATTATTTTTATGGAAGCATTTTCATTATCTTTGTCAAACGACACGAAAAAAATGTGTGCTTTTTGGAAAAAACACAATGCAATACCGCATATATACACACACAACCATAATAAAACAAAAATCAACCAACGTATGTACAAAAAAATAACAAAAATATGAAATACATCATACAGAAAGAGACAAACAAACAAACAAAAACACAAAAATGATGAAAATGTAAAGTGATGTGTACTGACCTGAAGTAAAATGTAGGAAATGATTCGTTTATTCTGTATTGGAGGAAGAAAGAAGAGAAAAATAAAATGACAAAAATGGATATGAATTATATGAATGTTTTGTTTTGTTTTTGTTGCATGATTGGTGAAATAGAAAGAGGCAAACAAGAATTATATGCTTTTTGTACGGTATAAATGCTTTAAAACATGAATTCGATTCGAAGAATCGTAAAATTGGTACATTTCAATTTGTGTGATTCAATATTAAAATTTTTGTTTACAGCAAATAAATTGCAATGTCATGCTGATATATGTTTTGAATGATATAACATATACTACGGCAATGAATAGAGAGAGAGAGAGAGAGAGAGAGAGAGAGACGTTGGTCGCGTCGTATCGATATCATCTCCATTAGACAAAGAAAGTGCGTCAGAGCATTGCATGTTTTGAACCTCTCAAGAGTTCAACTTCAATTTATATTCTTTTTTTTTCACAATCGGTTACAAGAGTAACGACAACTCTGGTCACGTAATTTATGCATTTTCCAGAATGACATGACAATAAAAATGAAAGAGCAAAGAAAAAGTGAGAGATACAGAGCGAGATACTTGTGATGCGGGTGAAATTATGATTTCCGTTGATATTGTAGCGAGTTTTCTGTCTGCACTGCTGATGGTTTGTTGCTTTCCTGTTATTTCAGGACACAATAGATTATACATTTCATTTCATTCGTAATTTAAAATCCGATAACATCACAAATCATTGCTGTTCAGTAAACAACAAGAATTGATGGTCTGTTTGATTCAATGCAAATGCAAAATTTCAATGCAAATAGATGGACAGATAATGCAAAATGCGAATAAGCAATAACAAAAAAAAACTGTGGATGAAATAATTTCTATCGTTGATATCAAACAAGCCATAAACAAAGTTACTGCTAACTGGAATGAATAATAATAAAAAATTCGAATGACAAAAAAAAAAAATTGGTGCACACGACCAAAGCATAGAAAAAAAAACATGTCACATTTCACTGTCATGAAAACATTGTTATGCGTAATTCTCTTTCCAATTACTCTCCGTTTTCAGTTTTATTTGAAAATCTGTGTACCCATTTTCTATCTCTACTCCGGTGTGTGTGCTGGTATGTTGGTATGCATAGAAAATAAAATGTGAAATGTCACTGAATCATCGGCGCGTAGCATGCATATGGAACAATTTCAAAATGAATGGAAAATTGCGAACAATGCAGGCATGAACAAATGAACGAAGCGCACAAAAAAAAACACACAACAACAACAACAACAACTGTAAAGCTTAAAAATTCTCCGACATTTTTATGCATACATGAATAAAAACAACACACAAAAAATGTAGTTGCATGAATGATTGCGACACAGAAAAAAAGAGTTGTATATGCGTGATGGCTACAATTTCGATGACAACTCCATTGGTTTGAAAACGCGGGTAACAAACTCCGACAATGACGAGGAATACACACGCGCGCGCGCGCACACACACAACAGCCAAAATAAAGAATTAAATAGAAACATTGTTTCAATGGCCTTGGGGAAATTAGATTCGCATACATAAATTTTGTTGCGTGCTCACGTCGTTTGTAAAAGTAAGTTTTAATTATAAAATTGCTGCTTGTTATCTATTGTGATATACATTCTATAGGTACGTCATGTCGTCAAAAACATAAAAAAAGAGCTAATTCATAAGTTCAATGGTGTAATTTTCAAAGGTAAAAAAGGATTTTTGATGAACATGAATGTTAATTAAACTTCCGAGGATTGCATTTCAATTTTCACCTGTAAACTTTGTTCCTCATGTTTTGCATGGGAAAAAAGTCGCAATAGTGTGTGTGCGTGTGTGTGTTCTTCACCTCAATTTATTATTCTTCTTCTTTTTTCGATTGGATATGAGATCTTTTTGTCTATTTTTATACATACAAATATATAGCCAATGGAAGAATGAAGTCTGTACATAGTAATGAGCTGTTTTAATGACGTCTCATTGAATCCATCATCATTAGCATAAAAATTAGTGAATAAAGAAAAACGAAGAAATTCGATATGCTCGGTAAAAACAACAACAAAGCACAGCGATGGTTTCATGCATTGGCTTGTGCGAAAAACTGTTTCACCACTATTTGATGTGAATGTCGAATTTATGATCCGTACAATTTATTTCGAAAATCACGCACACGTTATAAAAGCAGTCAGCAGAAACAACAACAGCAGCAAAAGCAGCAACCACAACAAAAAGCCAGATTTTATTTAAGTATGGGCTTCTTCGTTCAATGGCGTTGAATAACAATTTTGATGAATCAGTGCAGAGTTTTATTTCACGTCGTTTTATATGCTATTTTTTTCTCTTCGTCGTATTCTCTTGAAGTGCCGGTACACAATAACCGTTCTATGTTATTTTCGTGTTTCAGGCATTGATTTAGCGTGCACAACGGTGGTTTGAATGAGTTGTCGACGGCAATGGTAACAACAACCAACTTTTCGCCTACTATACAACAAACCACAAACTAGAACAATAAAACCGTATAGTCAGAATGAGAGAATACAGCCAAATACCGCATACAGAAAAGAAACATACAACTCACACAAGCAATTTAATCGATTTTTCTACTCCACACGTTTGGATTGGCATCAGGACGCTTGCTGACATTCATGTATCCAAAGTGTTTTCTCTTCACAAATTTTATGGTACATAGAGAAAAACAGAGATAGAGAAACAAAATGTGAATGTTTATGTAATTTGATTAGGTCCGCTTTTTGTTCAGTCTATTCGGAATTCTATGTGTAGAATTTCAATATAAATTGCAAATTTTCTAGCCTGATTCGTTAGATACGCTCCATAGAATGTATTGCACGCAACCAAAATGCTGAATATCAACATGACACTGTCCTTCGGCGCACATTTACAGAGTCTATGTTGGTGGTGTGTCTATTCATTTAAGTAAATACCATTTTGTCCCTGTAGCTATTTCACATTTGCAACGAATGATAAGAATTCAAAATGTATTCATCAAATTGTCTCTATTTTATTTTATGCCCTTTTTCTTCTTCTTCCTTTCTCTCGCTTTCTCTCCCTCTCTCTATCTACCGTCGATGCGTAGTAACAGTTTTGGTTACCTTATGTGCATAGTGCATGGCAATAGATGGCAGAAAATATGGCTAGCACCCAAGAGAAGCCATAGTATCAGCGGGAGCCGCAGCCGCTACGCTTATTTTTCATACTTTTTTACATAAATATTGCGCCAAATGTGTTTATCTAAAAGTGTCCTCATTTACCGTTTGTTCCACATTTGAATTCAAATCACGGCGATTCCAGAGGAAAAAAACATGGTTTTCCCTTAGATCAACTCTTTTTCCATTGCATTATTTTTAATTACGTCGTATTTTGGTTTGAAAACTTTGTTCCGTATTCTCATGTGAAAAGTATGGAAACTAAAAAAACATTGCATTCATTTGGCTCCTGAAACCGACTTGATGCGGTGACAATGGTGATCATTTTCGTACTTTTCAAACTTAAAATCAAGTTTTCGATTCAATTAGACTTATATACATGAAATAGTGGCACACAAACAGTTATATATCAAATGAATTAAATAAAAATTACTTTGGCAGGATGTGGGGGTTCTATGCTTACAATAAATAGCGTTGAGCAAATTTTCAGTAAATACCACGTCATGCTGACCAAAATGAATGCAATTCATTGAAAATATGGCAATTTTCGTTGTTAATATCTGCACATAAAAATAAATAATCGCCATATTTATTGCAAGAATGTTTGCGAATTGAGCCAAACTATGAACACACAATTTAAAACAAGATTCGAGAAAGCCCAGAATCCGTAGGAAGCGAAGCATTCACAAACATTTTTTGTTGTTGTATTGCGAAATATGAAAGAATTATGTGTTTTGGTGTGGAATAAACGTTTCATTTTTGTGGATAGAAGCAAAATAACCAACAACAGAAAGTTTTTGATTCACATTCGTATGGATAAAAACGAATGGAATTGTTACTTTGTACAATTTAAAGCCTAGATTAACGAGAATGCAATTGAAATAATTTTAAACATTTTGTCTGGTTGAAGGAAACGAACAAAAAAAGCCAACCCCCAAGCTCTTCTTATATTTTTATCCAATGAACACTCGAAAATTCCAGCACAGAAATGTGCCTTGCTGAAAGACTCATTATTCTATCCAAAGCTCTCTTTTTACATATAGACATATTTTCTCGGAGTGTTGATGTAAAAAATATTATAATATTATAATAATATCGAAAGTAATTAGGATTCTGGACATTTAATGTCAATGAAACTGAACGTTGAACGTCCTTCGATATTTTGTACAAGCCATATTTTCGGATGGCTTTTCTAGGAATGTTTCTTTGTTTGAGAATTGTAGGCAACTAAAATAGAGTATCAACTTTTACATCAGTATTTTTTTAAGCAAATAAAACATTTTTTCGTTTGAAAATGTCAAAAATATTGACTTTAAAAAACACATTTCGAAAATAATCAATCTCTTTGTATTTTTATTCTACAACTTAATAAATAACTTCATATGAAATTCATTTAAGCACGGTGGTCAGCTTCACGGCAAAGTGCCACCTGAATTATCATGCGGTGATTCAAAATGATTTAAAATGTTTCCGATTTACTCATAACTTTTTTTGTAGAGATGCATTCTTTCGGAATTGGTGTTTGACCACCAGTGCTTTTTCATGTGGTCGTCGTTTTTTATGTAATAAATATGCAAAATAATTCAAAATATGTATTTGCTTTCCAATTAATCTCTGTTTTCAGCTAAATGAAAATGCCTTTGAATTAATTTTGAATGTTTTGTCTGGTTGAAGTAAACGAATAAAAAAATAAGCCCTTAAGCTCTTGTTAAATTATGCCCACTCGAAAATTCTAGCATAGAAATTGGATAGCCTCGTTGAAGAGAAGCACCATTTTATCCAAAGCGGCTCTCTCTCTCTCTATGTATATATATACAATGTCTTGTCGGTCTTGATTTGCAACAATATTGA